GAGCTGTGACATTTATTTTAGCCTTTCTACAACTTTTTATGTGTACTTGTTCAATTGTTCACATAAAAAAAGAAAAGAGGATGCAGCACATGAATTTGGACATCCCCTTATTCTGAAAGAAATGTTTAGGCGTTACCGTAGCAACCACAGAGAGGAGGACAATGTTGTTGGCACATTTCAGGAGGACGCTGCTAATAAAGTTACTCAATGACAGTGAATTTATTATTATATTTAGTTTTGGTTGTATCATCTTAGCTGTGTGTAAATGAACGTGTATGAAGTGATGAAAGTCTGAGTCGTGACACGGATGCTACAGTTCGACTTTATTGTCCTCACAGCTGCACGTGTTCACATGAACATACGACACGTAACATCATCACAGCAGCGCCCACATTCAAGGTAAAAGCAACAAAACTGGAGAAAGCAAGTAAGAACCAGCAGGTGGCGCCGACAGCGCCGGCTCGCTCAGAGTTAAACTTTACAAAGTGCCTGAAGGCGACATCGGTCACATGATCAACCAAACTCAAAGTTACAACTTATAAATAATTCTGTAAAACTAACTTCGTCGCTCGGGTCTCTTCTACGCCATTTTCACCATCACGTTGTTGTACGGCGAATCCTGGTGCTGCTCTCTAAGCTCCTCCCTTAACCCAGGCTCCTCACTCTCCTCGTCCGCTTCTTCTTCTTCTTCTTCTTCTTCTTCGTTGCTGCTTTGTGATTTGGGGAACGCCCTCTGGGCTTGTTTGGGCACGGCGTAGTCATCGACTCGGGGGTTATACGGGTACTCGTGACCTTTGGGGTCAGCAGCTGTACCCATAATCCTCCAGGCATCTCCTCTCATCTCCTCGGGGTCGTCGTACACCGAGGTGGAGGGGGTGGATTTCTGTCCTTTGGCGGCGGCGGCGCAGCCTTCGGGCTCGTCATAGATGTGGTCCAACGTCTTGACGGCGTCACCATCGCTCCTGAAGACGTTCCTGATCTTCATCTCGTCAATGCTGTCGTACAGCGGGTCGGCGCCCGCATGGCCGCTGTCTGTACGGTGAGACTTCAGGATGTCGGTCATGACGTTCTTGGCGATGGTGTCGAAGGGCAGCGAGTAGTCTGCCTCGCTGCCGGTGCAGGGCGCCGCCACGTTGGCGCTCCTCTTCTCCCTCTTGGTGCCTCTCTCGGTCGACATGGTGATCTGCGAGTACGTCTGCTCCGGCTTGGCGCTCGGCTTGGGGCTGAGGCGGGGGTTGGGGACCGAGCCGGGGGCGGGGCCGGTGTTGAGATTAGGGCTGGAGTCGGGGCTGGCGTTGGGCAGGGGGCAGCTGGAGATCATCTTGACCTGATTCTTGCGAGGGGCGGGGAGGCGAGAGTCCAGGTTCAAACTCTTCACTCCGGTCAGAGTTTTGTCCACCGGAGGCTCGAGACGACACTGCGAACAGGACAGGAAGTGGGTCAGTATCACACGTTCACCATCATCATTGAATCAAACAGTGACTGAACGGCGTCGCGATTGAATGATGTCATCGTCATCAGCTAAGGGTGTCCAATAAGAAGCTCGAGCAAACAAGTCTGACAGACATCAGGACAGAGTGAACGTCGAAGCATCCTGTGACACTCCCCACAGCTGTGACACTCCCCACAGCTGTGACACTCCCCACAGCTGTGACACTCACCTGCAGAAGCACCACTGTGCCTCCACCTGCCAGCTGATGAAGCAGCTGCTGGCAGCCGCCCTCGCTCTTCTTCTCTGAACATATTTCAGAACAAAATGACGACACGTGTGACTGTGGAAACTATTTCACATGAACTCTGATACTCTGAACCTCGACTGAGGAGTCAATAAAAATACATCAGTCCAACCAAATACTGTGAAAACACGAGCGCCAAAGATTATTGGCTTGTGTGAAACACGCCGCCTGCTCGCCGGTTTGAAAAGAGGCCCCTCTTTGTGTCATATCCTGGGATATTTATCAGA